TTAATTGTGACTAAAGTTCTAATATACTTTAAACAAATAATTTCAACTTCGTAATTCAGTTTCTTTGCAATTCTTATAAATATTCGACAATGTTACAGTATTTATAATAATCTATTTGAAAACATTTAATATTCCTTGAACATGTCGTTACGGTACGGGAAGTTCCAGCAATTTGCCTTAAGGTATGACGCCATACATCACTAGTTTTTTTTAATTAAGAGTATCTGTAAAGTATAGAAAAACAAAATTTGGCATTGGTTTTATTGCGTACCAAAACATTTTGTTTGAATTTCGAAATCTACATTGTTACAAAATATCAATGTAAGATCAGTGTGCTTTTCCTAAAAATGTATTTACCAATTGTGTTTTCTTTTTCATTACTGAGTTACATTACTTTATTACCTTTAGACATTTTTCTAAAAAGTTATTCCTTGTTTATATTATTTTATTCATTATTCAACTTCTTTTTTGACTTGTTACTATATCTTAAAAATTTTCTTTGCATTATATTCTGTTCTTCATTATTGAAAGCAGCATAACGATTTTATATTATCTAATTATTTTTAAAATAAATGTTTATCAATTTTAATGACGTATTTTTATTTTACCTTACATTGTACACTAGATATTCAATCCGCTCCTCGTAATAAAAATTTTCTGAGGAGCGAGTTGCACACACAGTGTGTAATTATTTATGCAAATTTGCTTACGAATTGGGTGATTTCCGTAGTAAACATGTTTTTTTTTATTAAAAATTAACAATTTAAAAAAAAAAATTTGCTCCTGGGGGCGCGTTCGAAAAAAATCGCCGTCTCGCATGGGTTGAAGCAAATTACATGAACTTCTCGAGCATGTAATAATGAACTTAAAAATAATTGAGCTTTAGCAATTTAGAAAGAATTTTCAGCTCTTTTTTATTTCGAATATATAATTATCTCTCTCTCCAAAATGCGATTTCTAATAGATATCTTTCAAACAGACCTTTAATCTGTATATGTGATTATATTAATTATAGTACAAAAACATTTTAATGATTTTTTTATATTTAAACATATTTCCGTGGGCTCCCAACTATTGTAGAATGTTTGTCTGATGCAATAGCTACATTACCTTCATCAAACTCTTAACGAGTTCACAAAGAAACGACTCGACGATACTCAAGACATTTCAACTTCCACTGAACCGATTTACTTTTACTTATTTATAGACTTATCTTCGAAAAAATGATATTAAAAATAACGTTCGCCAATTTTACAGTTTTTCAAAAATCACATGAAACTCATGTCTACAAACTAGAATGCTTAAGTAACTAAATTCCTAAAAAATGTTTAGAACGTTTTTTTTTCAATATTCAAAATCGGATTAGGATTTTTTGCGAAAACGTGGACAAAAAATTTTGCATGTTTCTGCTAATTCGGAAAAAAACATTGTTTTGCGAATCCAGTTAAAGCTCGTTCTTATCGAATGTCATCTTTTAAAATGGCTTTTAAATTTTTGTAATTGGTTCAGCCGCTTCCGACAAAACTTCGACAAAAGTTAAAATTTGACTCATCACATCAGCAAAGAGAATTTGACATAAATTTTGAACTTCGAATTTTTATAATCAAATCGCCCTATTAATTCAGTATGTTCTTCAGAACCATATATATTTCGAACATTTTTAACTTCCCGAAGGAGAAGTTTATGTTTTCATCAAAAAATCCGATTCTCTAATTTTATGTTTTCTCGACGTTTCAAGCCAACTGAATCGAATGAGACCAAATTTGGAAAAAGTATGTGCGTGTGTGTGTGTGTGTGTATGTGAACAGATTTTTTGTAAATCGACGTTTTCTCAAAAACGGATAGGCCGATTTTAAAAATTTAAAAGCCACTCGATGTATCTCGACGAGAACTATTGTTTATCAGTTTTGTGCGACGATCGGCCAAGCCGTTTCTTTATAAATCGCAGAAAAGTGCAAAATTTTTCGTCTACGTTTTAGCCCGCAATTCTGAATCGATTTTGAAAATTCAAAAACCGTTCGAAAGATATTGGTTGTGAATCGTGCTGATTAGTTTTTGGTAGAGATCAGCCGGGCCGTTTTCTTGTAATAAAGTTTTTTAAAAAAAAAATTCGACGATTTTTATGATTATTTTTTTAATGGTAGATACAATAGTCTTCTAGATCATGCTAAAATATTACGGCCCTACGACAACTGGTTCAGCTTTAAAAATTCGTCAAAGTTTGCAAAAATTGGTATCGTTTTTTGGCGTTTGTCAAAATTAGACATTTGATCGACGTTTTCTCAAAAACGCCTGAACCGATTTTAAAAATTTAAAAGCCATTTGATGTATTTCGGTGAGGACTATCGTTTGTCAGTTTTGTGCGACGATCTGCCAAGCCGTTTCTTTGCAATTTGAAAAAAAGTGTTAAACTTTTCGTCCACATTTAAGCTCATCCTACCGAACCGATTTTAAAAAATCAAAAACTGTTCGAAAGATATTAGTTGGGAATGGTACTGATCAATTTTAGGTGAAAATCTACCGAGCCGTTTTCTTGTAATGAACTGTTGAAAAAAAATTTAAACCAATTTTCATGGAACTTTTTTTGGCGATATACATCATGGTCTTATAGAACTTACTGTAATATTACGGCCTCACGACAAGTAGTTTAATATTAAAAATTCGTCAAACTTTGCTAAAATTATTATCGTTTTTTTTAAAAGTAGGATTGATGAAGTGTATTATTTACACTTTTTTTTTTTGATTAAGTCAATTATTTACACATATCGGGAAGTTCATGTAACTTGCCTCAAGGCTAAATACCAAACCAACTAGTTTGAATTTTCGTGCGTTCAACATTTTTGACCAAAACGTAGACCAAAATTTTTTTCTTCTCTATTGTAATTATAAACTCGTGATAAACGCGAGTCCTTATCGAGTTATTGGTTCAGGCTTTTTTGCAAATTTTAATTTTTTTTAAATTAGTGCAACTGTTTTTGAAAGAACTTTCACGAAAACTCGCATAATCGGCGCACATACAAACACACAGTTTTTTTTTAATGTTGGTTTCAATTGTTGAGAGAGAGGTAATACGTAAAGAAAATAAATAATTGGCAGATTGAATATTCTGGCGAAAACGAACTTCTCATTCAGAGAAATAACAATGAAATTATCATAAAATTTTACATTTTGACTTGAATATGTTAAATATTTACCACGGTTGTCGACAATTATATCAAAGTTATGTAAACTGAAAAATCTAGAAAAATACTTGCTATTGAAATGGATCCTTAAAATTGAAATGGAATAAAAATAGTATAACGCAAACAAATATTCATCAAGAGGAAAACTTCTTTTTTGAAGTTTTTAAAGTTTAACTATTGAACTTTAAAACTCAAGAATCTGTGTACAAGAGTAAGACTCAAAATTTAATATATTTTCGGAGATATGTTGCTGTTTGGACACGATAATCTTCCTCTGTTCCATTCTCCGCAAAACTTTAAAAGATGATTCATTCTCCGCGAAAATGTCGAGCTTTTCGGTGATTTTTAATATGTTTCTGCAAAGAATAGAAATATTAGTAGATATTCAAAGCGATTTAAGACCATTGGGTAAAAATAAAATCTTTTGACGAAAGTGCCTTGAGAGTGGCCTTGAATTGTGAAAGTATTATTATCAGGAACATAATAAAGAGCTGTCCCGTAAACAAGGCTTAAAATAAAGGCAATCTGTACACAGGTATAGTATGAAATCAGTTTTCTTCGTAGAGTCTCATATGAGAAGTAGAATCTCTCAGCGTGGCTTTTCCAAGCCCTGTACAACTGGTCCTAGAATGTAAACAGGCATGTGGGCAACTAAATAAAGCTATCAAAGATAGTAAAGATAGGTGGTGGAAAATACTTATACCGAATTCAAGAAAAACCTAGGGAAAAGGCATCATAGCATTGTAATGTCTCGCCTCAAAAGCCAGTCAATGCTTTCATTAACTTGAATAGAATATTAACTGCAATGTCCCCATTGCAACTTGATTTAAATTACCAGGTAGCACATGTTGATCTAAATGATATTCTTATAGGCGTGGACCCTTTTGTCAATACGTATAACACTAGAAGAGTCAACAAGAGCATGCAATCGGATTGGAAATAGGAGGGCACTGCGATTGAATTGAATTCCTAATATTGCTGTAAAAGCATCAATATCTCCGGCAATATTTCAGAGTGCTTATAATACATGTCTAAAAAAAGCGGGTAGGTTGGGCAATAATGACCCATATGCCATCTGAATGCCTTAAGAGTTTCCCACGATTCTACCTCTCTTAGACTTGGCAGAGAAAGGACGGACAATTTACCGACAAAGAAGTCAACAACGGAGTCCTAAAAGGTTGAGATTAGAAGAATTGCAGAACAGCATAGCCCGCTGGCACCAACATTTAGGTTAAGAGGTTAACTATTATGTTACACAAATGCTACCTGGGCACACCTGTTTTCATGTCTACCTATACAGTTTCAAACACTAAAACTCGCCTTCATATTGTTTGGGCGAAATCGAAAATGCTACGCAAGCCTTCTTCGTGTGCCCGGTATTTAGGACGCAACGAGAAGGTGTACATGGGATGTTAAGTAGAAAAATTACGCTAGATTCTAAGAGACTTGCAATCATTGGAAAGAAGAAGAGCGATTAGGACAAAAGTTTAATTTAAAGTGGGAATTATAGACTTCCGCAGGAACAACAGGTAAAGGATAAGCGGACGTTTTGTGTTAGTATTATGTCCAGCATACCCAGACAAAAGACCTAGTGTGGAATGCGTAAACGCATTTCTTTTGATATACAAAAAAACAGACAGACATACATACAATTTTATATGTAAAAATAAACGAAATAATTTTTTCGTTGTAATAAAACCACAATTAATTTTAAGATTCATTTAAATCAATTTAGATTCATTTTAAAAGCTATTAAATAAACAAATCGTGTTTTAAATAAAAAATGATAAAAATTCATATTTAAATACAGAAAATAACGGTTATATAAATATTACATACTTGATCAAATTCCATAATATATTTCTCAGGATGTGCTCCCTTTTTCTTTTTGTTGATATATGGTCCTTCTAAATGTATGCCAAGGACGGTTGCACCGTGTTTACCGCCTTTTCTTTTCAAAATCTTTGGAATTATTTTATGATATATTTCTGTAGGTGATGTAACTATTGTTGGACAAAACGATGTAACGCCATGTGCCAATATACCTTTTGATACCTTTTCAATTCCTGCTTCAACCGAAGAAGTATTATTTGAGAAATCGATGCCAAATCCTCCTAAAAAAATTAATTATATATTAATGTGTTTTTCATATGCGTACATATGAAGTAGGGAATGCAATACCGGTTTACCGGTATACCGAGATACCGGTATACCGAAATACTGGTATACTAAAATACCGGTACCAAAATATCGGTATACCGCCCGATTCTACGGCGATATTATTACCGGTATTTACCATAAAAATACCGGCATTTACCCTAAAAATACCGGTATTTACCCTGAGAATACCGGTATTTTCAGTATTTTTACATAAGCGCTATTTGATACATAATACACCGAAGTTTAAATTTCTCGGAACAAATTTATCTTTAAATTCCATAATCGCATAAACAGCTATATTTTTAATAGCCCAGTCAAATTAAAGCTAAAAAAGCCGTCAGTTAGGAATGATTTGCATAGAGCTGAAATTTGGTACAGATGTTAAATAGGCCATTACAAATAAAATGTCAAAAGTCCCCATCGATCCGACATCTGCGATTTTTTATATTTAAGGTCAAAGGTGCAAAATTCTAGTTTATTTCCATTTTCTGCCGAAACCATAAGAATTTTTAAAAAATCATGTTAGGTTTATTTATTATAAAATTATCTATTAAATTGTTATTATTAATTTTTTTCGTTACTGAGATATTGCCGTTTGAAAAGTTGAAATTCATTTTCTTCATAATATGCAGCCTTTATACGTCATCAAACGTGTAATATAAGTAAAAAACCAGTGGGGTGTATGGCATCGTGCCTTAAGCAAATTGCTGGAACTTCCCGTACCGTAACGAAATGATCGAGGAATATTAAATGTTTTAAAATAGATTATTATAAATATTGTAACATTGTCTAATATTTATAAGAATTATATAAACTGAATTAGAAAGTTGAAATTATTTGTTTAAAGTACATTAGAACAGAATTAAAATAAAAATCTGATTTATTTTCGATATTTCGAACAACATCCAGAAGGTGTGGATTATAATTCTACATATTATTCCAAAACTATTCTCTTTGAATTGTCGATTTTTAAAATTTACATCAATTTTTGTTTTGAAAAATACTGCTTATTTTTGGCGATAAAACAATTAAAAAATGTAAAATGCAATAGTTGTTAATGACACTTATTCCCGATCGAGTGAAAGTTTCAAAATATCAACAGAAATATTGACATATTTTTTGAGCAAGTCAAATAAAGTAAGTAAATATATGTAATGTTAGATTCTGAGGTATAAGGGCTGTTGTTCGGCTTAGGTCTCTTACATCTAGATTGCAATTAGGATTAATTTTGGATCAAAATATCTTATACAGATTCATTCGTCTTTTGATATAAAATTGGCAGAGGCACTTCATCTTCTATCTCATATGTTGCCACTAGATATTGGCACATTTATTAAAAATTATGACTTTGGATTGTCATCATACGCTCTGCATTCTTGTATACTTAATTATCAACTTCCCGTAGGGTAACGTATAGTGATCGCAAAAGAATCTTAAATGAAAATTTATAATTTCTTTACGTTTGAGAGGTTTCTGAACATTTTGGCATACCTTAGAAACAATCGAAGTATGTATGTGTGTGTTCAGATACAAATTTCCGTCGACGATTTTGATAACACGTTTCAATTGATTTGAATGATTCAAGCATTCGAATCATATTAACAAGAAAAAGTGTTGTTTAGTTTTTGGCAAAGCCGTTTCAAAGATACGGGGCAAAAAGTGCCAAAAATGGTAATTCTGTTTTGAAGAGAACGGAGCGATAAAAAACGATTTCAATAATTCAAACGAAACATTTTACTTGTATTGACAAAATAAACAACTGATTAAATTTTGAGAAATGCAGGTCTAGCGGTTTCGGATATCGAGTGAAAAAAGTGAAGAAAATGACATTTGGCGGTCAAGCGAGTTCAGCGAGCCGCGTTAAATTGAAGGCGCTGTGCTATGATGGGCACTTAAAAATGTAATTTAAATATACTGTAAAAAATCGAATGAAAAAAAAAATCAAATTGTTGTAGCTATTTTGCGTGCCGCGTTGCAAAATCGTGTTTCGAGAAAAACGCGTTTAAGGTTTTGAAATAAATAATAAATAAGAAAAAATAAAAAATTGTCAATTTAATTTTTTTTTACTATTAATCTGATATCCCAGCAACATACAGATGCCTTTTTATAATTATATTTCATGGACATTCATCCAATAATTGAACAATTTTAGTGAAGAAAAACGTCTTTATTATAGTATCAAACGTTTTGGGTCCTGATTTGGCCCATCTTCACACAGTGCTCACATTAAATTTACAAAAATATAATTATATATATGTGAAATAGCATAAATTTAAACAATTTGATTTTTTTTTACATATTAAAAACATATTGTTATTGCATATAAATGTAGACTATGAAAACTTAAATAATATGTAATAACTCACCATACAAATAATTAAAAGAGAAAAACAAAAAGATTGAAACACCAAAGATATAACAACAAATTATACAACAATACTGTTTTACTAAACATTGAATTAAAAAAATAAATATAAAATAAATGAAATGATTGAAAAAGCTCTTCTCTTTGACACATGTTAACCGTTTGAATGTTTGAAGTCTCGTTGAAAAGAGCTTTTTTAAATCTTTTCATTTATTTTATTTCTATTTTTTTAATACAGTATTTACTAAAAATAATTGTCATATAACTTGTTAAAATAAATAAAAATAAAATTTAATGAAAATGAGCAGGTAGTTGTTAGAACTAGTTTGCTCAGATGATGACGATAGTGGTCATATAATAATGTAACTGAGCAAATTTATCTAAAGTTCACGAAAACAAATTATAACATCTTTTTGGACATTGTGCTAGTGCCCCTAGAAATATACTGATTCCTATACTGCAAAGTACAGAATTTATACACAACATTATAAATTTAATTTAATTAATTATATAAGCAATTAACTAAATAACATTACTGCTCTCCTGATATTTGCTAATCAGCTTTGAACAGTTTTGTAATTTATTGTACAATTGCTTCAATCTCACATCACTTCTGGATGCATATCTTTACATACATGCCAAGAATTTAATGAATAAACATGTTACCTGCTTAATACTAATAAAGATTAACTAACATCACAATTTAATTTGTTCTGTAGTTTGAAATAGGTCATAGCAAATAAGATATATTTTACACATAATGAAGATATCAAAAAATATTACTGATTTACGAAATAAGTTATTATCAGAGTCGTACTACTTCCTTCTTGCCTTTTCAGCTTCTGGAATTTTAAAGAAACTGTCAATGGTTTTTTCTTCAATTCTCTTCTTTAAGACCTACCACAAATGAAATGTAAGCTCATCATTGTACAAATTTCTGATCTTCTTAACATCAGTCATGTTTAATAAGTAAACATTTACGAATTCTTGCACTTCTTTTCATTCCACCAAAAAGTCTTATAAACTTTATGCGCTAGAAATCTGCTGACTGGTCTTTTCTTCCACTATCAAAATTTTCTCAAGACCTTTGGAGCGTGAATGTGAATTGCCCAATAATGAGATGATTTAAGTGTGTTTTTTTTTATCAAGAAGTATATTTTCACAGCGAAGCAAAAATTTCCAATGTCCACTATTTGAATTAATTTGAGCAACATATGTTACAAATGACAACGATTTAGTACGTTGTGTGAAGCAAAGTTCGTTGTGTGGAACGTTGGCGCCCGAAAAAAAAGTTCGTTGTGCGCGACGTCCACTGTACGAGGCATACATTATGCGGGGTATCACCGCATATGCAAGGAAATCTTGTAGGTACTTCAATAATTAAATCAATTTAAAAACAAATTTAGAACACTCACCATTTATTTGTATGTCTATAAACCCTGGTGAAATAATAGCGCCCTTGCAGTCTATAACTTCATGAGCAACAGTTTTCTCATCGAAAAAGATATCTTCTGGGTTAATAATTTTACCATTTCTGATCCATAAATCTTCTAGTATTATATTGTGATCTCGTAATATATAACAATTTTTAAATTGTATTATTTTTGATGCATGCATTTTAAAGCCTTTGTTTATAGTATGTCACGAATAAGCTAAAATAAGGACAATAATATTGACGTTTAAAAGAATAGTCACGTAGTCACACCACCTTAAAGCATGCTAAGAATTTGACTTTTGTTAACATTTCACCCAGCGTGAAGTTGACGACGAAATAGAAGTTAGCTGTCAAGTTGAAAAGCATAGATAAAAGAAGAGTGTTGAAAAGTATTGGATTCATTTGACAGCTAAAACCTGTCAAGATCATTATTATCACCAGCTAAAACCTGTCAAGATCATTATTATATATACTCTTCTTTTATGTATGATTCATATATATATATATATATATATATATATATATATATATATATATATATATATATATATATATATATATATATATATATATATATATATATATATAATAAAGCGATAAATAAATTTTTGTATCTAAATAAATTCTTTGATTTCACACACTTCCCGAAGAGCTACAAATGTTCCAATTCTCGTATTCAAAAGTATTCAAAATAAAACCCTAATCTACTCAAGAATTATTAAAAATTGGTTACATTTAATTATTAATTAGTAAATTGATTACTAACGTCTCTTCAATATATATATATATATATAATATATATATATATATATATTATATATATATATCTATATATATATATCTATATATATATATATCTATCTATATATATATATATTGAAGAGACGTTAGTAATCAATTTACTAATTAATAATTAAATGTAACCAATTTTTAATAATTCTTGAGTAGATTAGGGTTTTATTTTGAATACTTTTGAATACGAGAATTGGAACATTTGTAGCTCTTCGGAAGTGTGTGAAATCAAAGAATTTATTTAGATACAAAAATTTATTTATCGCTTTATTATAATATTTCAGTTGTTGCTTGTTCAAGAGTTCAGGACTAACTAACTTATATTTTACATTTTTAAAATATTTCCAATATTTCTAGTTTTATGATAGCTCGCGCGAAGGTACATGAGCTATCATAAACTTTATTAAGGGTTGTCTGGCAGATGTACAAAATATTCGCAACATTTACCGTTACTTGGGAGTATACATCGTTCAAAGGAATTCATTTATGACTATTATTTATAATTATAAAGAACACAATTCTCAACACCTCCATCGTGAAAATTAAGCCGTCTCGGCTTATTACATAACATTAGCGAATTTCAGGTTGTAATTTACTGGTACATTAATAACTAAAATCTTTATCTTAATAACTATGAGTTGATGCATAATGGATATAACAACTAAAGACATCAATTTTATTTATATTTTAGTAAATCAAAACACTTAGCTAAACCTTAACATTAATATTATAAGTTGGACTATTTTTTTTAATTCTAGATTTACATTTACATTACATATTTTAGATTTAATTTATTTGTGAAAAGAATATTATTTTTATTATTATTATTTAATCAATAAAATTTAATTGATAATTTGATTTATGTGATAATTAACATTATTCTATGAGATTTATCAAATTAATTAAATGCAATTCAATAATAAGATTTTTTTTTTTTTAGAAAATTTGATAAGATTATGTTACTTTACTCGTTTGGTATAAACTTTTTCAATTTGTTGTTGTGCACTTGTACATGTTTATTATGGATCAAATGGTACTATTTATACTATCGGTTTTTAATATTTTAAAGGGACCTTTCCATAGGGGCAAAAGTTTTTTGCATCGCCGCGGATACGGAGTTTCATCTCTCAAAAGCACATACTCATCGATCTCAAAGGTTTCAGGGTTCAAAATTTTGATCATAGTTACTTTTAGTTTTTTCTTTATTACTCAGTAAATTCTGTCGAGCGAAACTATTCGCGTGCGATAACCGCGATTTTAACTCATTAACGTAAGTGTCGTAGTTATATTGAAATATAGGTTTTTGCTATAGCAGTGGTAATTCTATTTTCCTACCAAAAACTAACTCGAAAGGTGTGTAATTTGTCGCGTTATGTATAGTTGTATTATGGATAAAAAACTGCGTATTTTATGCATTTGTCCCATCTGTTTGGGTTTTGTTAATATAAGATCTCAAGTTTTGAACATAATCCCTATGGATCCTTTCACAAGAGCCATTCGACTCAGGTCTGTACGGGGAAGTTGTTATCTTTTTAATTTTTAGTAATTTGCAAACGTCCTTGAATAAATTGCTAGTAAACGTGGTGCCTTGATCAGATAGAATTTCCTTAGGAAAGCCGAATTTTAAAATAATTTCTGAACGAATGCATTTGCGACTGTCGAACTTTCTTGATTACAAATGGGGATTGCGCCTGCATATTTCGTTAAGTCGCATATAAATGTCAACAAATATTTATTTTCCGGAGTCAGAAACGGGGTAAGGGCCGCAAATATCAATACAAATTTTTTCGAAAGGCTCGCGGCTGTTGTTGTTATAACTAAAGGTTGCCTTGTTTTCTTACATACTTTATTTTTTTGACAAGCAGGACATTTACTACTTACATATGATTTAATTTGTTTTTCGCATTTTTGGCCATTTGTATATGCTACGTATTCTGCTGAACGTTTTTTATGGCCCAGATGGCCTCCCGTATATTGTGATCTATGAAATTGGTTTAAAATCTTACTTATCTCATCCGGTGTTAGGTTTTTCAATAATTTTGTCATAATAAATTTTTAATTTTATGTCGGTGTCTCTGAAATGTATCGTAATAAAATTCTAAAATTTTCTATTGGTATGTGGCAAAAACTTTGAAATTGTGCGGGAGCTGGAATAGCAATGGATTTAATATTTCTTGAATTAAATGAGCTTTTAGATTTAAGAGGCAATGGAAAAAATCTTCAAGTGTTGGCTGGGAATTCATGTTATTTACAATTGAGTAAAAATTTGTTTTTGAGAGTAGTTTAAGTTGAAAAAATCGTGTGTTCGTAATTAGCCAAATTGTTATTAATGTTACTATGTTGGAAAAAATCGAAATATTTAGTTAATTTATATTATCATCGGGAGTTTGGTTTTTTTATCACGATATCAATGCGGATTCTTCATGTTTTAGGGATGTGAGAAAAACTTCATTCGATTCCTCGATATTGTTATTAATTATAACCGAGGTTTTAATAGTATTTAAAAATTTTTAAAATTATTTTCGGAATTAAAATTGCATCTTCTGCATAGAAGAGATAATTTTTGGTTTAGAATCGATAGGAATAATGAAATATTTTCATTAGAAGCTAATT